GAAGACCTTTTCCCAGACCGATCGCAGGCGGTAAGATGTTTCTGGACTCTAAATGAAGAGTTGCGATTCTGCCCCCCCCCCCCCCCCCCCAATGAGATGGTGGCCTGCCCCCGGGCCGGAACTGGGAAGATGGGGCGGGAGATGAAGACGTGAAGTTCTGAAAACAACGGGCCTACCTGCCGGCTTGAGCTGAGGGCATGGCAGGCTGTCGCATCGAGTGAAGTGTTGGGAGGCCGGTTCCTGGCCTGGAGATGGGGGAACGAAGACCTGTGCTTAACGTTACACTCCGCTGCCAGGGGGATTCTGTTGGAAACGTCAGGGATGCGCATGACCGGAACAGACCATCTGTCCTGTACTCGGCTGGCGCCGCCGCCAGTCTATCGGTCCGCTGTGGTCGCCAGCCGCCGGCCCTGGTCGCCCACCGTCGCCGGCCAGCTGTGGTCGCCAGCTGTCTGCCAGTCCGCTGTGGCCGCCAGCTGTCTTCCGGTCCGCTCTGGTCGCCAGCCGTCTACCGATCTGCTGTAGTCGCCAGCCGTCTGCCGGTGCACTGTGGTCACTCAGCCGTCTGCCAGTCCGCTGTAGCCGACAGCCTTCTGTTAGTCCGCTATAGTCGCCAGCCGTCTGCCAGTCCGCTGTGGTCTGCCAGTCCGCTGTGGTCGCCAGCTGTCTTCCGGTCCGCTGTGGTCGCCAGCCGTCTACCGGTCTGCCTGCAGTCGCCAGCCGTCTGCCGGTCCGCTGTGGTCGCCAGCCGTTTGCCGGTCCGCTGTGGTCGCCAGTCGTTTGCCGGTCCGTTGTGGTCGCCAGCTGTCTGCCAGTCCGCTGTGGTCGCCAGCCGTCTGCCGGCCCGCTGTGGCCTGCCAGTCTGCTGTGGTCGCCAGCCGTCTGCCAGTCCGCTGCGGTCGCCAGCCGTGCTCGCCGGCGCATCTGACCGGCACCGAGACGGCCGGCCGGCCCCTCTCAGCATAGCTTCACATGCCAGCTGCCCGCCGTCGACCCCAGGTCAATCGATGCGTGTGCGCGGCCGAGTTCATGGCCGCCCATGGTGCCGCCTGTTTCTGCCGGTCGGCGCGGCCCCAGGCGTCGGGCGGGGACGAATGGCGGCCGAAACAGGCTATCGACCATTGATCGAACGGTGTAGTAGCATTGTTGTAGCTGAATCGGGCCGCCCCTCCCTGCGCGAGGTGGCCTTTCACCGACGTATGTGTAAGTGAGTGATGTGTGCTGGAATGGCACGGTGCTGAATGCCAGGTGTCTGGCTAAATCATGTTGCCATGCGCCAATGCCGTTGTAATCTAAGTTACGCTAAGGCTGTGTTAGCAACACATAGTCCTGCTCACGCCTAGCCTGTTACGTGCTCCATTGGTCGTCCACAACGCCTGCTAGTCAATCTAGTCCTATTAGTTACTGACCCGGTTATCCAGGAGCTATCCGCCTCTTTATGGTCAGAGATATGTGTGAATCTCACTGGTGGGCCTAGCTCCGTAATGCTTCGACATTATTGTAAGACGTATCTAGGATGATTGAATACCATTCGCAAGGATTAGACATAGATCCCGCATCGTGGAAGGTATCTCATCCAATTTGGCAGAAGATTCTTGATTCCAAAAGAATCGCTAAGGGAATAAAAATTTGTAGGATCCCAGGAAGGCGTGGAATTTGATTTGGATATGATACAAACTTTTGCCTCATTTGGGCCATTTTATCCCTGCCCAAAATCAGACAGTTATCACTCCTATCCAAGTCAACTTGTGAGCTAATTTTTCAAAGTTGACCTGTAATAGGAAACTATGTGGATGGAACACGAATGCATTATCGGTGTAACAGGTAGTGTTTTTCGCAATGATCGCCGAAGCGGAGCCCACGAGTCAAACCAAGTCAATATATTTACGAATGGCTCCGACAAGTGGCTTAATATTTCATCACAGTCGCATCGCAGTTCATATGCTGCAAAAGTAGAATAAAAAGCTACACCAACAAAAAAGCACCGATGACACAAGTGGTAAAAAAACAGTCAAATACAAAACACCTTACGTTATAGTGTTACTCAGCACCACTGAGTTCGCTAATAAATTCACACATTTTCCCGTAGCTATTGGTGACTGGTGGTAGGTACTCCCAGAACGAGACTGCACTGAAAGCTACTCGATTTTAGCAGACGCAGATGCTGTATTTTGTTCCGTAAAGCAGCTTACGTACACTGGATCAGCTTTGGTTTAGGTCTCGTCATTTTGCACTGATGGACCCGGCTTTGGCTTCGTTGTTATTAAGCTCGAAGCCGCTGACCTGGGCTTCGGTTTTGAGTGTGCAAATTTAAAGTTACTGGCTTCTTTTTTTGCTTTGGGTTTTAAAAACACGAGGCCACTGGCTTTGGCTTCGACTTTACGGCTCCAAACTTTTAAGTCACCGATTTAGCTTCGACTCCGGCTTCATGTCATTATCTTGCCTTTGAATTCGGTTTTAATGCTGGACGCCTGACTTCATACCCATCCCTGGTCCGTACATATATCTGTAGTTAAGTTTATTCCAATCACACTCTTGATGGTGTGATTCGAATCACACCCTTAAATGGATCGATGATGTAACGTTGATTCTGGTGCCCTTGAAACATGCGTCCGAAGCGGGACACAAAAACCGTTCGTTGCACATTGACGGCTTATTTAGTTGCATTATTTCATATCCGGACCGTATGGACTCCGCCGTCAAGCATACCTACATTTGCAGTAGGGCCACGTAGGGACCATGACAGTCCTTTAGCCACTAACCGCTGGTAGCTGCACGACAGGTGCGCTCGCTTAGTTAATGAGAGCTGAGAATTGAGATACGCACGATTCGAGTAAATTCGAATACATCCATATATTATTGTGAGCCCTCGAATCCTAGAAACGAGGACTTGAACCCGGAAAATCAGGATCCGAATTCTAAACACCACACCAAGTCCTGGGATTAATTGTGTATATAAGTATTCACCGCTGAAGCATTGCTGTCGAGATGGGGTTCCAACACGATTCCTGTGCCGCGGAGGTCTTATCACGTTATGACGACCTTCGTATGACTGTTGCGGTGTCATCATAAGTCCAGGAATGCAAAAAAGACAATGCTCTCATTTTCTGCATCTGTTGAGCTGAAAAGCCTCTTTTTGTGATGGCGATTTTTGTCCTCGCCCGAGGACAGTGAGGTAGAAAAGCTCTCTTACTAGGCTGTGCTCCGAAGTATACAGTTCCTACCACCGTGTGACGTTCCAGGTATGTGCCAACATAATCAAGCTTCCTGTGCCGATACTTCCCCAAGACGTAAGCCCGTTAGGTCGATATGCCCTACCTGAGTGGTAGCCATTATGCTGATCGCCAAACCATCAGGCGGCTTATTATGCATGCTTTCCATAATTATGTTCTTGAGGGGGTAAACAATGGTCACGAAAACCATAGATTAACGCAGGGTATCCGTTTAGGGTTTTCCCTAAGCTCGCAACTATACCATATAACTAAGCTCGCAAGGCAAATGATAGTTGCTCTTTTTGTGTCTAAACATATAGCAGAGCAGGCTGGTGACTCGGTCGCCGTCATCGCTATGCCGGACATCGGTCGACACGAGCCGTGACCCGTTTCGTAACGCTCTCGTGACGTGCGGGTCCGCAGGCTGAGACGGTCCCAACGTCAACTCTCCGGATGTTTTGGAGCGGCGTCAGTCCGGACAATCATGCTTTTGACGGACCTTTGCCTTTGTTACCACTTATGTTGTCATGTGTCAGCGACAGCTAGCTCTTGTGTTATGTTGATTGGGGCTTTCGGGCGCGCCGACTTCTAGTCATTTGGCGCCCAAGCGGCAGGCAGCTCAGTTCTATAGAAGTGCCGTGACGTTTTGCTCAAGGCATTGCCATCAAGCTGTTTGATTAGCAAGAGGTTGGTGCAACATTACAGTGTAATCGGAATGTCCACTCCAATCCGAGTAATCTCCCGAAGATAAAATATTCGGGTCGCGAAAAAGCTGAAGAGTATTTCGCCAATCCAGGGTCACAACGCGTCACCTTTTGATGAAAGAGATGTGGGACAAGGGCACGTGCATCCACGTGGGTCCAAGTATGCGATCGTTTATCATCTCTTAACTGCAAGCCATGTATCCACCAGCTTGGAGAATCTCCAAGGACCGAGATCAGATCTCAGCAACCCGGAACAGTTTTGAGTTGAAGCCTACTGGATGGGGAATGCAGTGCCCGTGAATATTAAGTGGGCTCGTCCCGCTTGGACGCATGGTGACACTAGCGATCACCTGGCGACGGCGGATGTCGCATTTTCCACCACCGCCGTCAACTGCTGTGGCCTAAACTGAGGGGCCTAAGCTGAGAGAGCTGCGTGGTCCTGTTAATCGCGGCCGGTCCCGCGCTGCAAAGGGCGTCGCACTGGCTGCGGTATCAGAAGCTGTTACGAACTGGATTCTCTTCAGGACGTCAAATTGAGGAGCACAACTGGAGACACGAGCCGGCACTGCTGCGAGCGGACATCGGTACTCAATGTAGCTGGGCAGTTGGTGTGCATTTGCTCACCAGCTTTTCACCGCGCGACATTCACAACTTCTGTCACGTTAGAAAGCTCCAACGATGAAACTTAGCAATTCCTGAAGTTCTGATGTGCTATGACTTATGTCCTGACCTGGCGTTGCAGAGATAGCGAACTGCCGGCCTTGGGCTGCCGGGCCGGTCGCTTTCTCGCCTCTACTCGGCTTTGTATGAGTGCGATTGGATCCGGCCGGGGAATGACACGTGATGTATTGGGGCTGTGTTGCGACGTGACATGTGATCGGACCTGACCTGACCCGATGCTGCAGGAATGCCACAGAACCCGGCTGTTACGTGACATGTTCCAGAGGTGTCGCAAGAACCCGACCTGACCTGATGTGTAACCTGACCTGGTGTTCCAGAGGTGCTGCGGGACCGCGCTGTGACCTGACCTCATGCTCCAGAGGTGCCGCAGGACCCCGACCTAACGCGAGGCCTGGTGTTCCAGAGGTGCTGCAGGACCCGGCCGTGATGGCACGCCTCAGTGACACCAAGGCGGCGGGAGAGGTGAAGGCGCTCGAGACGTTCTACCGCACGCTGCAGGATGACCCGAGCAAGGCCTACTACGGCTACAAGCACGTCGAGCGCGCCAACGAGGCGCAGGCCATCGAAACCCTGCTCTGTTCTGACAAGCTGTTCCGGTGAGTGCGGCGCCCCGCCGCGCTCTGTGGGAGGGGGGGGGGGGGGGGGGGAGTCTGGTGCACTGCAGCGTCGGCCTCTCAGGTGCTGGAGCGTTTGGAGGCGTGTGCTCTCCTAATCTGTCCAGGAGGTGTCAGGAGTCCTGTTGGCTGCTTGAGCCGTGCTCAGCAGGGGCGACACTAGCATGTGTCGCCTTGGGCTGGGACTTCCATATGTGACGTCATAATGTGTATTGATCCATAAAACAGCTGTTGACATCATTGCAAAGTGTCTGCGCGCTCAGTCCTTTTTGTATGAAGCTTACCTATTTGAAGTAACCAAAAGTTGCGTGAGTTGTCCAGGTTCCGTACTCTTTTGCGGGTTTTAGTGGGTGAGCGTCAAGCCGGAGTATGTTATAAAAACCTTCTTTTATGAATGTTCCCACAACTTCCTACCTTAAATTGTATAAGAAAGTTGCGTCTTGACCCCCTGACATAAAATAATCATGTTATTTCAGTTACATTTCAAGTCTGAGAAAGTCAGTCTCAGCTGTTGACAGCATCAGCTCATTTCAAGTCAAATATGGCCGCCACCACGAATGCGATGAGCAGTCAGTTACTGAGCAGGCGTTTGGAAGGACCTAGCCCAGCCTGACGTAGTGAGCCTGTTCAGCAAAATAGTCTGTGGGTGACCTCGCGCATCAACGCCTGCAAACCCCACCCATATGATTAGTCTGTGCGTGGGACTAAGCGTGCTTATGCTGGGTGGTGACGTTGATGCTTCACCTCATCACCTTCACTAGGATTTCCACTAGCAGGAAAGACACGTGAGAGTGAGGTGAAACGTCTGCGTCACCAGGACGTCGAGAGGGGTTTGGCCTAATCCTCATTTTATCTCTCCTAGAACGAGCTAGCAATTTTGCTTCGATCAGATAGTCACCCAGCCCCACAGATTCCCGAACACTCGAGGCGCTGCAACTTTTGCGCCTTGTTTTCGGCCGTAACGTCGTGGACTAAATCGCTGTCGCGATGAAAACATCGCTATCTGGCGCCGCCTCCCATTGACCTCGCGCTAAGGCCGAAACTTCGCGATGGGGCGGGCGCCGCCACACGGCGGCTGGAGGCCGGGCGTGGCCTGGCGGCGGAGCGCTCGGTCAGGACCGGGGTCGGGGCTGGTGGCAGCTGGGGTCTGCATCCGAGGCTCAAGAGGGGCGGCGGGCGGTCAGACGTGGGATCGTGAGGGCCCGGGAGGGTCTCGGTCCGGGTCTCCCGCCGGACCGCGCAAGCCGAAGACGCGGTCTGGGTGTCACGAGACCGGCTGTACTTTGTAGTAGGCGCACATCGGAACTCGGACCAGACGAACGGCCCGCTGATCGCTGATCCGAGGCGCCTGGCCCGGCTTTCCCAACACACACACAACTTTTCTCTCTCTTTCAAACGGAGCACTGAGTACAGTGTGACGTGTGTCAAAACATCGCAACCCGGGTACTTGAAAGGCAACATGTAAATTGATCGTTCTTGTGAAGCTTCGTCACACTTCTATATAGCGTCGCGTGTATATAAATATATACACACATTATATATATATATATATATATATATATGTATATATATATATATATATATATTATATATATTCACGCGTATATGTGTTGTCGGTATAGACCGGTGGCTTCGTTTTCATTGCCTGGTGCCAGGACCGAAATGTGGCCGTTGAAACGGCGGTGCGGGTTGTCGACAACGGTCGACAAGCCCCCGCTCCGGTCTGGTTTTGCTGAACGTAACTACGAGCAGCCTGGCGCCTGGCCGCTGACCGTCTTGAAAGAGGGTAGCTAGCGGGTTTGCCACACTCCCTCGCTTCTCGAGCCAGCGAGGGATTCTCCCCACTTATGACGTTGATCTCGGACGTAATTGATTCGTTTATCAACCGGATCGAAATTGATTCGTTGATTGCGTTCCGGCATGGCGCGGCTATCGTCACCCGCTTTGCTGCATATTTTACAGCCTTCAGAAGAGCTGTAGTCTGAGCACCGGTTTGGGTTTTGATCACAACTGAAACGTTACCATTAGCTTCAGCCAGTAGGTCACATGGTTCGCAAGGGTCGGAATTGTTTTACGATCGCCGGAGGACGTTGCCTTCCCTGAACGACACACTCGTTCCGTGTCTGCACCACCAGGCACGAGCCTAACAGGTCGATGGTGTATTCAGAGGCACTATCAGAAGACGCGCGAAGGTCAGTGGGGAAATCAGTAGACTTTGGAGCAGAATTGCCGGAAACCAGAGACGAGAGGAAACCAGCGGGGATGGCGGAAGAGGCAAGTGGGAGCCGGCGGGGATGGCGGAAGAGGCAAGTGGGAGCCGGCGGGGACGGCGGAAGAGGCAAGTGGGAGCCGGCGGGGATGGCGGAAGAGGCAAGTGGGAGCCGGCGGGGATGGCGGAAGGAGCAAGTGAGAGCCGGCGGGGACGGCTGCAGGATCACAAGTGCAGATTTCATCCGGTTTTCCGATCCAGTCCGACGGCGGGACATTGTCAACGGTCATGTTTGAATGCCAAAGGTAAAGCCAAAAGAGTTGCACGTGCCTCTCTTACTTCTTTCGCCCTGTGTTCCCTCCCCCCTTCACACGAGGCTCAGTAATCGGGAACCGTACGATGCATTTTTAAGACAATCAGAAAAAGCAAACGGCGAGACAGCTCTTGAGCTGAAGCTCAGCAAGAGTACGGCAATGACAGCGTCTTCTCACACACACACGCGACGTTGTCCCTGATAAGCGCGCTCACTCGACGCGTTTTCTTCGTTTTGGCTTGGTTTGGTAGGGCAGAGAGCCCTTTCGGTCAGTAAGAGCCGTTTCAGGGCTATGATATTAAAGAGAACGGTAAGCAGGGGGTGCGTCCATCGTGGCAGTCCTCCGCCGCCGGGCCTCGCCCTGCGCAGGGGCCCGTCCTCGGGGTGTGGGCGTCCGGCCGGGCGGGGCTCCCGCCGACACGGCTAAGAGGCCGGCTCGCAGCTGACGGCCGCAGCGTGCCCCGGTGAGGCGGCACGCTGCCAGGGGTTGGGAGAAGAGATCAGTAAGGAGGAAGGACGGGTGTGTTCTGCGGTGTATCGGCCCTCTAGGATGCATATGTTGGTAGACAGGTATCAAGAAGAATCGTTCGTGAAAAGGCTAGCAAACTTACTGACGTCGAGTCTTGTCTCTGCTCAGCCAGATGTGCCCGAATTGGCTCAGTCATAATGCATCCATTTGGTAACTGAAAAGAAATGAGAGACGGTGATATGACAGAAAGTTTGACTTGCAATAGCATCTGGAGGCTTTGGGATGTAAATGCATCTATTGGCGATATTTGCGGGGTCGCACCATTCGCTGCGGCGGCGGGGTCGTGGAGCTTCTCACATGATTAGACGTGTTTGACGGGCACCTTAATGTGATGTTGGATTGTCTAGGATTGCGTGGTTCAATTGTAGTGAGCTGCTGCTGCTGCGCAGTGCAGTGTTAACTTAAGTCTCAAATTCGAATGAAATAATTCAAAGTCAAACAAGATTCTGGAACGGGAGATGTTTATGGGGGCACGTAATGTAGGTACGAAACGTGTGTGTTTTATTTAACCGAGGCACTTCAACAATTTTATTTTTCGTAACTTTGTACAAGTTAAACACGGGCACATCTGTCACTTGCAGACATTTCGCACATTGTGGATAGCGGTACTCTCGATAACAGTGACATGGGGAATAGATGTCAATACAAGAACACTATAAATCACGGGAAATGGACATACAAGGACAATCAAGGACATGCAAAATAGTAGGTAAATACTAAGGTCCATATAGAGTAAGTTTTGTTGTCGCCCCTTATAAGAGTGAGCTACTGATATTTTATGGAAGGCTTCAGATCGTGAATGGAAATCGTTTCCTTTTAAATTTTCTTTGCACATGACCGAGCACAATATTTTCCCCTGTAATCGCATGTCAGGAAGATCACCTAAATATGCGGGCAGTTCTGTCACTCCCCAACCTGTTTACCGGAAGTGATTGACACACATCCGGATAAGCCTGTTTTCTCATATAGCTGTATGTGACACCCATAACGGGTATCACACACACACACACACACACACACACACCACACGCACGCACGCACGCACGCACGCACGCACGCACGCACGCACGCACGCACGCACGCACGCACGCACGCACGCACGCACGCACGCACGCACGCACGCACGCACGCACGCACGCACGCACGCACGCACGCACGCACGCACGCACGCACGCACGCACGCACGCACGCACGCACGCACGCACGTATATATATATATATATATATATATATATATATATATATATATATATATATATATATGTCATGCCTTTTATATATAAAGCTTACTGAAGCTACACATATACCTTTGTATGTATAGCTTCAGCTTTTCGATAGCTTATCCGTAGCTTTCGATCGCGGGCCGGCCGTGCGCCGACTGGTCCCCGGTGCCGCACACACCAGGCGAGCCGACCCAACCCAGGCCTGACCTGTCTGGGTCAGGCTCCCGGCGGCCGCAGATGTGGCTGGATTAACCCGCCTCCTCGACCCGGCCGGTGCTTCAGAATTACGTTACCGGCTGGCCAATCAGACTGCTGACCCGACCGCGGCGGCCGTGGCGGCTGGCCGGGCTGTCACCACATAAGTGCTGCAGTAAAAAATCCTCCCGACACCGGCGCGGGCAGCATCAGTTATTGCGTTATTATTTCTACCGCAAATACTTGTACATACTTATACGCGACAATCACTTCTACAGCAAACACTTATACCACAAAACATACTCTTGAAAAATTTGTACATGACAAATTTATGCTTCAAAATGTTATGCTTCAAAATGCACATCATCTGCCATACTGAAGTACTACATCTACTGCAAAAACTGATGCTGTCTTACTTACACGCTACATTACTTCTACTGCAAAAAATCATACACGACATAAATGCTACACGACGAACGTTATGCTGCAAAAAAGTTACGTTTATCATTACTTATATAACAAAGACTTCCCAGCCTTCACTGATACGTCTCATTACTTGTGCTGTAAAAACACCTACACGACATGAGTAGTACACGGCAAAACTTACGCCGCAAAAACGCATACTGGTCATTACTTTTTCAGAAAGAACAACCACAAGTCTGTTGTAGCAACTTTGTCGCGTAGAGGTATATGCAGCAGAAGTAATGCCGTGTGCAAGCAATAGCTCTATAGATTGTTGCACTAGAAGTATCAACGGGCCAGTAGAAGTATCAACGGGCCAGTAGAAGTATCAACGGGCCGGCAGTTTTTAGTCTAAGTATTTGCAGTAGAAGTTAACCCGTTCCCAGGCTATGACTGTATATATTTTTGCAGTAGAAGTATGACGAGTAGAAGTATGGGTTTGTAATGTAGATGTAATGTCGCGTATGTTCTTCAGTCGAAGTAATTCGGCATGAGTTGCGACTGTAGAAGTGTTCGCAGTAGAAGCAATGATGAGTGAGTTTTTGCAGTATAAGTTTTTGTGGCATAGCACTGATGTCGTCCATAATTATTGGCAGTAGAAGTAACATCGAAGCACTCCTGCCGGTAGGAGTTTTTATTGTACTACTAATGCCGTGGAACGACCGGCCGGGCCGCCCGCGTCGTCGCGCATCTCCCCTGGGGGGACGGACGCGGTGGGTCTCCGTGACCTGGTCGTGCTACTCCGCTATATACTGGCGCCGATATATTCTGGGACCGAGCTGTGTGGCATTTGCGTGTCCTCCGCGCGCAGTGCGATGGACGGCTGGTCAGGGGGTCTCAGTGCTGCCCGGAGTGACCATCCCGCCCGCCAACTGACGGTGGAACTCCCGAGAACGCTCTCTGTGGGCCACTCGAGTTGTCTTGACGTTGCTCGGCGACGGCCTGAGTCGAAACGGGAGTGTAGCATTCTTTGAAGCTAAACTGGCAGCGACGCTGGGTTTTCAAGATGCAAGTAGTTCGTAGAAGATGCGTACTCTGAGTGAGCTATCCAATTTCGTGTATCCGAATGCTGGGGGCTCGGGGACCAGTTTAAAAGGTTGTAAAATTGTTGCTGTGCGTGCTGGAGTATCACCGTGAAGTAACCTTAATAACACGCGCCCGGGTGGCCGGCTGGATATCCTGCGCTCGGGTGGGAGGTCAATTTGACTCTCCTCCGCTAAGATCTCAGGAACTAAGAGAGGTGGAGACACCAAATTCTTAGGGTGTGTGCTGACCTGTACGTGAACTCGCTTGGGTCAAAGTTTGAGTTTCATAGGTCATGACCTTCGGGTCAAATAAGGGCCAAACAAAGTCAAACCTCGGGCTGGTTTCCAAAGTACCCCCAGAGCCTAAATAAAGTGTTAAGCCCTAAGCAGAGAGTCGCATGCTTTTCAAGGTCAGTGGCCTTGTTTGACTTTTCGAAGGTCACGGTGACCAAAATCATACAAGACTGCCTTGAGTTTTGCATTTGAATAAGCGACAAACATTACGTTAGGAGTATGTTCGTAAGTACAGAATGTTGACTTGAGTCAGCTTAGGTCATTGACCTTTCATGACCTTTAAGAATTACATGGAAGATGTGTAATGCGGTTCCTGTTATCAATAAATTCGAAATGAGAACCTGAGTATGCGCTACACAGCTAGTCTGGAGTAATAGGAGGCTTTCAGAGATGTATGGCTTCGTTCGAACATTCCGTTATCGCATCAGATTGAATGATTCCCTTACAAATTGGGCGTCGCTGAATCCATCAGCCTGACTTTCACCTGCCGTAGGTCAGTGACCTACGTAAAGACACAATGTATTTAAACAAGGTTGACGTGAAGGAAATCATGTTTGCTTACTCACAGTTATAAAGAGGCTATCCCGTGTCCCAATTTTAACAGAATCGTTAAAAAATACAGTCGGAACTTGTTGCGCAACAACGTTGAATTCCGCGCATCCCGCGTCTGTCGCTCCGCGCAGTTCGCATTCCGTCTCTGCGCCAGCGCGCGTGTGGCCAGTGCTCTCCGAGTCGGCGCCCAGCCCGGTCGGCGGCGCCGGCGGTGCGCCGGACTCGCCGCAGCGCGTCACTCCGTGCCGGCTCTATATCGGGCAGCGGGCGCCGCCAATCCCAGGAGCCGGGTAACGAGCGCGGTCGCGCGCGAGACGCCGGCCTCCGGCGGCGGCCCGCCGACGTCAGGCTGTTTCGCCAGGCGCACCGCCGCAGGTGATGCCCACGCCCGGAAACGTGTGGGTTGTCGGATGACCGCTGGCACGTGCTGCTAACTGGGCGACTGACCACCACCCGAACACATGCCTAGGAGCCTCTAAAAGTTCTAGCCAGCTCTCTGTGGTTTTGTACGCCGTACATCATCGATTGATGGATCAATACATACATACATACCTGCATACACGCACACATACATACGTACGTATATGCATAATACATAACATACATACGTATATACATACATACATACATACATACATACATACACATACATACATACATACATACATACATACATACATACATACATACATACATACGTACGTACGTACGTAATACATACGTAACGTACGTAAAATGTGAGCCAGAACTGGAGCGTCACATGCAGATGAAGGCTTTCGTATTGGGAGAGATCAGCTTTGGTTAGAAGAAAATATTGACAGCGAGGCAATCTTGCTCTGTCGCTTGGTGGTTGCTACACTCAAAGTCTCCGGGGCTTGTGCTGTGCTGGTTTCTTCTTGCATTTGGAGGAGGCCGCTCTTAACATAGTGATAACATCACTGGCCCACAGCTTTGCCAATTTAAGTTCGTTTTTTACTTTTGGTTTGAGCCAGCGACTGCCAAGCCTTCTATGGAAAGTGCGCTAGAAGTTACATCGCCCGCAAAGTGCGATATAACGTCACAGTTATGCCGCTTAACAGAAGGTAGCACCAGCGTAACCGCGACAATCGAGTTTTTCTCAGCTTATGTATTCGAAGTTCGAGTTTATTTTGGCGAAGGCTTATGAATTACCCAGACATGTCTCTTTTTAGAGATTTACGTATTCCTGATCTGTCTTTTTCAAATGCTTTATGATGCGCTTTTTGGTGACCATGGCAAACGGATTTTGAAGAAAAAAACGCAACTGTTTTGAGCGATGCGGGTCAACGGCAGAATGCGAGCCAGTGTAGTTCTTGATAGAAAAAAGGAGATCTTCAACTGGTTTTTCGGGATTCCGAGTTAAGAGTGCTTATGCTGAGTTATTGACGTTCAGTATGACAGGAAGTACTTGAACGACGTTGTAGTTCAAGCATCGGTGATAATGACAGCACTCGGTGTTTTAAGTTGGGGCTTGCGATTACCAGTGATAACTCTCGATAACTCCTGGTAATGAACAGAAAAAAATGAGGTCCTAAGCCAGTGTAGTTTTTTCATGGCTCTGTTTTGCTTGTTAAAGCCGCGTCGAATGATATTTGAGAGCGCTTTTAAAGGTGGACGTCACTGGTAATCATAAGTTGGGTTATGATTACCAGTGATAACTCTCGATAACTCCTGGTAACTGAACAGAAAAAAAAACTGAAGTCCTAAGCCAGGTAGTTTTTATGGTTCTGTTTTGATTTGTTTTAAAGCCGCGTCGAATGATGTTCGAGAGCGCGTAAAGGTGATCGTCGTCCACTTCCCGCTCTTTAATCACAAGTGCTCCGATGAATCAGGTGGTTTTGACCTGACCGTCAGTCCTAAACAGGCCTGAGAACGAGCCGACCCGTGGTCTGCGCACGAGTGCGCGTGACTGGCTGTTACGCGTTAGCTCGTATCCCTGCCCAGCACCACTCTCCGCCTTCTCCTCCGTAAAACGTTTTCGGCCTCGTACCGCTGGATCCGCCGGGTCGCCAAGATTTGTCTTCCGTCTCGGCCCTCTTTTTAGAGCATTTCCGAATAAGTAAACATTGCTTTTTTCATGCTGATCAAAGAGCGTCGGCGGCACGTTGAAGAAAGAGCACATTCGGCAACAATGAGACGCTCCCTTGCTGTTGCTGAAAACTGCACGAATCTGTGATCAGTGGTTGCAGGTATTAGTTGCTGGGAAGCGTGATGGACAAGTCTGGCCTTGCCGGGTCGGGTCGCTCAAGTTAAAAGCTGGTCCACTTTTGAAGAATGGCTCAGTCGGCCCAGCGGCTCGCTCGTAACCGGATGAGACATCCTATTTTCCGTGCGTGTTCGTCGTTTCCACTGGCCATCGCCTTGCTGCGCCTGCCCCGGTATATCCGTGTGAGCGGCTGTCGCCGCCTGTATACCTGTGTGTCTCTCCGAGCTTGTCTCATTTGGTCGGGGTCCCGGCGGACGCCTGCGAGATCGTGTCGCGCCGTCCCCGGGGGCGACGCGGCGGTGGCCGCCCCGGCGCGACAGCGGCGCGGCTGGCCAACCACTCACCAGCGGTGGCATGCGCTGCCCCGGTGTCGGCCGAGGCGAGCAGCCTCTTCAGACGCCGCCGGAGAGGCGGCTCGCCTGACGCTGGATGGCAACAGGGAGCGCTGCAGGGCGCGTCCTCGCTCGGGATATCTGTTGGAGTCGCGAACCGGTGGACTGCAAGCTCCCACCACGCAGGATATGACGCGCGCTGCACACTCTTGGCTCGGGTGGCGCAGGTGGGCGGGCTCTGATGTTTGCTTACTGTCCTCGTCGCCTGTCTCAGGTCGCTGGACTTGTCGGAACGGAAGAAATACGTCGCCCCTGGTGGACAGTGTCAGAGAGTACGGCGGCGACGTTAAGATATTCTCCAGCCTCCACATCTCCGGTGAACGTAAGGACCATGTAGTGGCATTCCGCCGCGCGTTCGGAGCGTGGAGCTGAGAATGCTGTTCACCGTGGTGAGGTCTCGCTAGTTTCCCCAGTGGCGCGGGAACACGTGCACGGTTGGTTTGGCGGCACGCGCGTTGTGTAACCGCACCTTGACTTCTCGCACAGTCCGAGTCCGACCCTCTGATCTCGCTTACCGGGCGGCCACAGTTGGAGAGGCCCCATTTCCAACTCTCGAACATGGCGATAACCCAGCTGCTCCCCCCAGCTCAGTGGGTTAGGGCGGCGGCCCGCTCGTGTTGATGAGTGACAGGTGCGGGCTTCCACATCCCAGAGCTGTGTCGTGTTTCTTGTGTTACGTGCCCATGCGTCTCGTCATTGAAGATAAATTGAAACAGGCTGGTCAGCAGTGAGTGTGAGTGACAGCAGAGTGAGGCTGAAACTGTGGCGTGACATCTGGTGGCACGATGAAATTGTTTACAAAAATTGTCCGTTAAATAGAATTGTGGTACTACTGGTGTCTGGGTTTTCGCCAGAAGTCACGTTTCGAAAGGACTTTGACCCCGCTATGCACGTTCTGTCTGCTGTTGGCTGTTGCCTGCCAGACCGTGTGCCTTGTTGAGCGATGTGACCTGGCGGTGTGCCGTGTTAGACCGTGTGACCTGGCGGTGTGCCGTGTTAGACCGTGTGACCTGGCGGTGTGCCGCGTTAGACCGTGTGACCTGGCGGTGTGCCGCGTTAGACCGTGTGACCTGGCGGTGTGCCGTGTTAGACCGTGTGACCTGGCGGTGTGCCGCGTTAGACGGTGTGACCTGGTGGTGTGCCGGTTAGACCGTGTGACCTGGCGGGTGCCGTTAGCCTGTGACCTGGCGGTGTGCCGTGTTAGACCGTGTGACCTGGCGGTGTGCCGCGTTAGACCGTGTGACCTGGCGTGTGCCGTGTTAGACCTGGCCGGTGTGCCGTTGAGCCGTGTGACCTGGCGGTGTGCCGCGTTAGACCGTGTGACCTTCGGTGTGCCGCGTTAGGGTGACCTGGTGGTGTGCCACGCTGGTGGTGTGACCTGGCGTTGCGCCGCGTTGAGCAGTGTGACCTGGCGGTGTGCCGCGCGGAGCGGTGTGGCCTGGCGATGTCCTGTCGAGTCAGCTGACGCAGCGGCGCGCTGTCACAGAGCTGGAGCAGCTGACCGGCGTGGCGGCCGTCCTGCGGTACCCGATGCCCGAGATCGAGTCGGACGACGACGAGGATGAGGAGGGGGACGACTGACGAGCGTCCGGCCCCGCCGGCCCGGCGACGTAGCCAACCTCCGCTCGCACGCAGAGGACCGCCGGACCGGCCCGAGGACACGGTCCTCAGGCCGGAGACAGCGGCGCGGGCGGTCCGCTGCCGCTGGGACCGGGGCAGCGGGTGGCGGCCAGTGCACGGGCCGCCGGACCCTGGCCGTCGCCCTGCCGGCCGGGTCGCCCCCGCGCCGTCTCGAGCTGATGGTGGAGCTGGCGCTTTTTGCCGGCGACGGCGATGTTGTCCTCAGTCAACTATGCTATGTTCTATGAGCACGAGTCGTGCTCGCACCATGCTGCCAGCGTGTAGCTATTTAAGCGCCGCCGGCATTGCATTGCAGCATCGCAACTAACTGCGTGCCTACCGGCTTCGTTGTCGTGTAACATGTGCGTCGACCCCGTGACCTCGTTGCCGAGGGCACTCCGCGGCCGCTGGCCTGCGAGGCCTGCTACCATTCGTGCAGAGATGTTTCGGACTCGGCCCGGTGCGTGCGTAGCCCCCATACCAATCCCGCGCCCTGTCGCTGATGATAGCCGTCTTGTAAACATCGCTTACGCGGTTAGCCGACCGACCGACCGGCCATCAGTGATAGTGGCGGGCGAGGTCGGCGGCGGCCCGCAGACCGCCGATGGTCCGCCTGGCGGCCGGGCGGGCGGCCGCCCCGGTCGTCAGCCGCCCCCTTGACGCGGGGTCGCTGCGCCGGGCTCGCCGACTGCCGCGCCACGACCCCGCGCGCACACTAGGTTTGAATGGCGGATCTCAGCCCGGTTCGTGTATATGACGGCCTCCATGAGGCCGGATGTGTACTTTCCTGAGGTCTGGTGTGTCAGTAGGTGGGCGCCCTGTTTGCGTATGTTCCGTGCACCTTGTCCGCTAGTCGGCGTCGTTGATGGTTGATGGCAGTCCGGCTGTGCCATCTTACGCTTGGGGTTGTTTAATGTGACGCGGTTCTTGCGTCATGCGCCGTCTAATTTTATGACGTCTTCAAAAAGACATTTGCAATGCCAAGCGCCTCGGAAACGAAGCATGGGACGCATGCATGAAATACGTGCCCGGCCAGGGGACTCTTACTTCTTTCTGGAGCGGGTTGTCTCGTGTCATTAGCTGGTTACCAGCCTAAAAACAAGCAGATTCGTTATCCAGCAGGAGGTTTGCCTTGTAATCTCCCTAGACAGAGCGCGAGACTCCGTCTGGAGTGGCGCCGGGCCCCTGTGACAGACTGTGGGACTCGGGCAGGGGTAACGCCTCCTATGTCATTTCTCGCCACCGAGCGCGCGTCGCGTGGACCACGCCCCGCTGCGCTGTGATGGCCCCGGGTCTCCTCTGTGCGGTCGTCGCCGGTTGTCCCGCTGCTGTGATATTGCCCGTGTGCGGCATGGGTGCGCCGGTTCTTCTCGCCGACTGGGCGTTGGTCGGCTGGCCGGGGGTCGCGGTGTGTCCGCACCTGACACCTCGCTGGAGAGTACGGCGGGCCCGCTGCGGGTACGGGCCGAATGCCGCCTCGTCGGAGCTGCCCCGACGCCACGTGTTCGCAGCTGACATCACTGCTCCGAGTGAAGTCGGAGAATAAAGGTCTGAAGGTGCACCGTTTATTTGATGTCGCCCGCAGACCCGCGTCACCGCCTGCACGTCCTGCTGGGACGTGGCTTCTGACTGATAATGGAACGCATCCGGCCAAGTCAAGAGCGCGAGGAAAGCAAGCCGGGAGGGAGGGGGGGGGGGGGGGAGCGATCGGCACCTTACTAGGTCCGAAAAAAATATATGGCTCAACTCATCCGACGATCTCATCTGGCATGCCTGAATGAAATCAAACTTCAACCTCCCATTTTTGGGGAGATCGATTCCGTTTTGCTCGAAGAAAATTTGTCTGATTCCTGAATGGGCCCCCATCAAGTCCATGCCCGCATCTGGAATCAAACTCAAGACTAATGAAAGGAGTAACTCGGGTCTCGAAAAATACCCGACGTCAAAGCATCCCAATGCGGGCAAGTTTTAGACTCATGGCGAGCGAAAGCAAGCAAAAGCAAAAGTGCTAGCGCAGTTACCTGCACTCAAGCTTGATGTAGGCTTGTTTTGCCCTGATTTGGTGCCCGCATGGACATTCGGCGTGGTTCCCAGCTTGTCCGGAGCAAGGAAATCCCGATGGTGGCGATTGCGTAACCATGATGAATATCATATTCACCCATGTACTTTTGAATGGCAATGACGTGATCGTAATGCAAACGTTACCGTAGATAGCGCATCATTTGCGTCGCATCATAAAGCACCTTTAAAGACTTCACAAGTGAATTGCACGAAACCTACACGGTGCACACACTCTGTGCTGCCGGGAAGCCAACATTCGTGTCCGGAATACATCATTAACTTATAGACCCGCCCCTGTAGCAATAACAGGTACACGCGACCGTGTAACGCGATGGGCCGTGAAAAACGTTGGCCCACGTGGTCAGCGTTGGAACAATAAGCAGTCGTGAAGCGTCCCGATGCCGTGGCGTGGCCAGGACTGGTCCCATTGTTCCTCCACTGAATTCACACTCCGCGTGTGAATGGTTAAGACCGCTCGCGCTCATCTGGCTGGTGCCGAGCCGATGCCACCGTCTGTTCAAAGCCGCGGGCCGAGGCCTCTGGTGGCGTGTGGTGCAACGCGCCGAAGTCCGATCCCACACTTGGAAGCCGGTGGCAGCCGCGCACAACTGCTGCCAGCGAGCCAGGCGCGCCGGTGTACACTGCACACACAGCCAAACTACGAAAAACCGTCCCAGCCACTGCGTGCAAACACGGCGACCCATCGATCGCATGCCAGGGCATGGTCCAACGGCCGTAAGGGATGGGCCGGATCACCATGGGTGGCGGATGCCCATGTGCATGAGGTGCCGTCCGGTGAGCATTTTAGGCTGCGCCCTATCACAGCCAGTCTTGCGGGGTAGCTGCCGTCGTCTGCGCTACCTCCCAGGGGTATGGAAGTGACTGGCAAGTTTGGAGGGGGGGGGGGGGGGGCAAAGGCCGTTTGAGGCTGTTTGTGGCTCCCGAGGGGTTGTGAAAACTATTACCCACTGGTGTCCGGTGAGCGGTTGATGTCGTGTTTTTACACGCACACTTAAATAATCATAATGCTTAGAACGTTCGGGGTAAAACATCACCTTGTCCTTAATCTAAGGTGATCAGCAAAGTCAGCTCCGTTCAGCAGTTGTAAAGATAAAGTTTAAATTCCCAAATTAATGTTGTCAAACCATTTAAGCGGACACGGCTAGCAGTGGTTGTCACCACTCGCAGTGGCAATTGTCGAACCCCTAACAAACTCCCTATGACATTACTCGTGTGACGCAGTTTCCCACCGAATGTGCCAAGGGCTAGCAAAGCCAGAGCGGGTGATCATACCCGAATGCTGCGTCCATTCTGAGCATCAATAGACACATTTACACTATGCCAACTCACTTTAATCCCATTTGCGTGCTGCTGCTTCTGCTTGCTTCTTCACGATGCTGACTTGTATAGGAGACTACAATGGCCAAAATGCGGATTAGTGAGGAATTCGGTCCGAAAGATTCGGCCCGACTGCTATGGATGCGATTCAGGACAAGATTGTCGACTGCAGCCTTGCTCTCACGCAGATTATGGTTTTGAGGCGCTACGCGATGCGAGGCAACGGATACCGCTCATTTGGGTGGCTAAGAACGCTGGCGACTCCCTTACAATCCCTTAATTGACTTGGGGATGATGACGTGACGAGGTGTAGGTCAGACGGAAGCCAATCCATAGCGTGGGTCAGAACAGGAAGCCAATCCGGGGGACGTAGGTCAGGACAGGAAGCTGATCCAGACGTGTCTGCCAGAACGGGAAGCCAATCCATAGGCGTTGGTGAGAGAAACCCAATCCGGGAGCTGTAGGTCAGACAGGAAGCCAATCCAGAGCCGCAGGTCGGAACAGGAAGCCAATCTAGAGGCGTAGGTCAAGACAGGAAGCCAATCCATAGGCGTTGGGTGAGAGAAAATCAATCCAGAGCCGTAGGTCAGGACAGGAAGGCAATCCAGAACCATCTTGGGCATGGCGGTGATTGGGTCGATGACCAGGCACCATTTGGAGACCGTCCGGAATGAGGTGTTACGCACGGCGGGCGGCCCCTCACTTCACTGATACTGCAGCACACGCGGAGAGGGCGGGCCCGGATGTGTGTTGTCCCATATTGAGAGGCGGTACGCATCGGCCTATAAGTCATTGATGGCATAACGAGATATTCTGGAACGGGTAGAGAGATCTCGCCACGGTCGCTGATAGAAAGATCGGCAAGGGAACTCAGTCGTCGAAAAGGCCGGTCAGGCCGAGTATCCAGAGCGTGCCGGCCGGAGGAGACCGAAAGGCGAGGGCCCGGGTCAGTCCGGGCTCTCGCAGTCTGCCAAGTGTTTCCACCACCGCCCTCCCCCCTCCCCTCAGGCTCGCTGTCACCACCAGGCCTCCGCTGAGGGACGCACCATGGAGGCGATGTTTTGTAAGGCCCACTCCGTCAGCCGGGAGGCGAGGGCACGAAAGCGCCAGTGGCGATGCCTTATTGCTGGGCGGGGCACTGCCGAAGTGCTGACAGGCTGGTGTCAGCCGACTGGGACGGGCCGTGCCTTGCGGAGCTTCCTGCCTCTTTGCCTTAAGTCGTAACAAGTTATGTTTACGGTGTTTTCAACTGCTTGAAGTATATTTCAGAATCAGTACTCTCCAGTTTGATGCGGTTCTGCTTGAAAGTCTGTGCGGTTCCTGCGTGAGGAAGATTAAGAATATGTGTTTGATAGAAGGGAAATTGTCCTTGTTTGGAGTTCAGAGCGACCATGACACCATGGTCACTCAAACCTTTGTATTGGTTTGGATCAAAGCAAGGATAAAGATGGGATAACACGCAGGAATTGGTCCAAGATCAGACAAAACAACACCACGATAACAACCCAATAACAATCCAGTGACAAGGCGCCTTATGTGAGCTACCATGATTGCTGCGGGCAGTAAACTGGATGCTGAAATGAACAAAAAGCTGGCTGGAGTGAACTTGGAGGAGACATTTAAAAAGGATATGAAAGGATATGCTGTCAAGGAGTCAGCGGTAGTTGGCAGAATGTGTCAAAATATTAACGGAGGTCATGTAAGGGAAATGTTGGATGGCAATCAAAGCAGCAAGGGTAAGAAAGTTGGCCAGTGACGCAAAAGATGTGGCCATGGACAGTCACGATGACAACTCACACGTGGAACACCATGACTATGGCAAGGATGGAAGGTAATGCTTCTGATGAACAGATGACCCAGGCTGAAGATGAAGAGGGTAGTGCGCGGTGGATCCACGCAAGAGGAAGAAAAACAACATGCGAAAACGTGAACGGTCTTAGATTTGTGGTAAGAACGTAAGCCAGATCAACGTTGCGGCTGTGAACGAATTGTCGACTAGAACGTGTCATTTGCTACAGCCACGTTGATGATGTTGTTGATGTTGAAAAGCGCCTGCGGAATGCAGTGAAGCGAATCAAGCGAAGAAATATTGGCGTGATACTACGTGTGGGGCCTGATGACGTGCATAGAGCAGATCAATAGTGACAGAGCCCATCAGAGGATCAGCGATTCTCGATAAATATAGACTGACCTTGATTCTCTGAACGAACCGATAAATCTCCCGGCGTTTGGAACGGTTGGTCACGGCAACGTGGTGCGGATCAATCGTGACAAGAAAGGAGAGGCCAGCCAA